CATTATTTGAATATTACAGGTGTGTAAACTCAGCAAAATATTCTAAAAGAGTCCAGTAGTCCATAATAGTATTGGGTCTTCTACTTCACTGGCAATGTCAGAAATTGTTGACCTGAGTCCCCTACTGAAAATGACTTTCACACACCCTTTCATTTGCCGAAGACTCCACCTGAAATCTGCATTGGAGTGTGCAGCGTCCCTGTATTTTGCTCTAAAGTCCAACAAGGCCTTGATGCAATGTCATCTGTCAGCATGCGCAACAGTTTATTCCCCTACATCTACACACAGACATCTGCTGCACTTACACACACACTGGCACTGAGAGGGCTCTTCTGGGACAGGCCTGACCTCCACTGAACCTCCTCTGGACACGGCACAGAGACAGCTTTCAAGCTGTGCAGCCTTAGTGCGAACCCCCAAATTCTGCCTTCCTCCTAAGCCCTTAGGGTTCCCTTACCTTGACTTGCTCATTAGAGGTGACAGCACAGAAAACAATCTCTGTGAATCCTTGGGATGGGAACATACGGAAACAGATACCACCAATGACACGGCCATCTTTAATTAACGCAAGAGTTTTGTGTTTCCTGAAAAAATAAGATTAAGTCAAAATTTGAAAAAAATAAAAATAAAAATTAAATAAATAAATTTAAAAAAAAAAGATTAAGTCAAATTTTGATCTATCTTTTTTGTATAAATATACCTTGGGGAGTATTCTCAATGCCCAGAAACCCAAGGTAGGGGTCAGGGGAAGAGCACAAAGTTGTGGTCAAATGTGCCATACATTTCTGAAGGGTTTATTCTTACTCAAAAACATTATGGAAAAGAACACAAATTCACATGGACCATTTGCCAAATCTTGAATTATGGAATCCTAGCAGACCTCTCTGTAAAAAATGTTAGTTTTTACACTGTTACTTTCCTAAAAAGCAATGGATTTTATAATGTTAACAGTTCTTATATCCCAGTAATTCTTCCTGTTTACAGACCTGGGCAACAATAGAACCTAGTTAAGACACCAAAACCAAGAATGTCTGAACTATGCAAACAGCAAGACATGTTTTTTAAAAATGTATTTGGTTGTTATATAAGGTCTCACTACACATCTCAGACTCATAGTGACCCTCCTGTTTTCAGCCTCCCCAGCACTGGGATTACAGGCTTGTGCCACTAAGCCTGGACTCTACGACCAGCTCAGTCCACCCTGGGGGTGGCATGCGGTGCTGGGGATCAAATTGGTCCCTAAGCTTGCCTAAACAGGTGCTTTAGTACACTGAGCTATCCCACCGGCCCACAGTGAGCCATCTTGCTGTTTCTATTCTTTCATTGCTATAATGAAGGAAGCACATGACACTTATCAGCAGTTTAAAATAGTAAGCTTCACTGCTACTAACAAGAATACTGACAACAGAATACCATTCTCTGACAAAATTAAACAAAAAAGGAAGACACAAATGAACGACTATTTTGTATCTGTATGTTCAAAATAGTTAAGATAGATACTCAACTGCATTCTCTTGGATCACTGAATAGAGAGACTTGTTCTAATAGCGTTTGTGGACAGATTATCATGTCTGCATCTTGTACAATGAATAACCACTAAGACAACAATATGCAATGTATTAATTAGTGAAACTGTGCTTGTAATTGGTTTTGAAGAAGAATACTTACAAACTGTTCAAAAATCAGTGCTTTGGGGCACAAACATGGTCTTGCCTTGTACCCACAACATACCAGGAAGCTACAGCCTCTGGTAGAAGGCTATGAATGACTCAAGAAGGAAGAGAAGGCTCCACTCACGGGTCGAAGACCAGCCGCGTGATGTACTCCTTCGGCATTCGGGGCAGCTGGTGGGAGAACACGTTCTGAAGGCCCACCAGCCACATCAGGATCTTCTTGTTTGGTTTCTGGTTCAGGGAATTGCCAACCACGTGAAACTCAATCACACCCCTGCGCTCCTCCAGTCTCGCCGCCTCGTCCCTGGCTGAATGTGCTGACAAAAAATTGGTCTGCAAAGCAAGACGCAGGGAAAGCTATGTCGGGCTGTTCTTTGAAGACACTGGGATGGGGCAAATCAAAGCTTCTTTTTAAAGGTACTTAACACACACACATGGGGACACAAGGGCGTGTGTACAAGCACACACGTAAGTTACAAAGACAAACCAGGAA